TTCTTCAGTATTTTGATCAGAAGTCCTTCTTTCCAGTCTCTTGGTACTTGTTCCTCATCCCAAATCTTATTAAAGAGAATGTGGAGTATTCTTGCAGTTGCCGCTACGTTTGCTTTTAGTGCCTCTGCTGGGATGTTGTCCGGTCCTGCTGCTTTGCCACTCTTGATTTTTCTGATGGCCATGCTGATTTCTTCAATTCTTGGTGGGCCAACATTGATTGGGAGGTCCGTGTGTGCTGCTTCGATGTTGGGTGGGTTCAGTGGAGCTGGTCGATTCAAGAGTTCTTTGAAGTGTTCTACCCACCTGTTTTGTTGCTCTTCAATGTTGGTGATTACCTTGCCTTCCTTGCTTTTCACTGGTCGTTCTGGTTTGCGGCGATTTCCAGAGAGTTTCTTTGTCGTGTCATACAATTGTCTCATGTTTTCTTCTCTTACAGCCTTTTCCGCCGTCGTTGCTAAATCTTCCACATATTTACGTTTGTCAGTTCTGATGCTCCTCTTCACTTGTTTGTTTACTTCTGTGTATTCAGCTTGTGCCTTGGCTTTTTCTGCTCTTGTTCGACTGGTATTGATTACTGCCTTCTTTTTCCTTCTTTCTTGAATATTATCCAGTGTTTCAACAGTGATCCATTCCTTGTGATGGTGTTTCTTGTGACCCAGGACCTCATGACATGTTGAAGTGATTGCCTTTTTGATCCCCTTCCAGTTGCTCTCCTGTGGTGTTTGAATTAACTAATGATTCTTTTGTACTTGTTGAATGCTCGATTTCGAATTCTAAATACAGTACATTCGTTGTGCCTGTGTCTTCTTAATTCAATTGTGTTAATCCTGGAATTCCTAATTCATACGATAATTAGAATACTATATTGGCGTCGCGATGGAGCCTGCAATGGAAAAGTTGGATATTCATTCAACTCCTGAAGCTTTTGAAGATTACTTTGAAAGGTTCGAAATCTGGGCTATGACCAAGGAAGATGATGAGGATGTTAATATTGTGGCACACTTCCTCACATTCATTGGAAAAGAAACATACAGCTTATTAAGAACTCTGGCTATGCCGGAAAAGCCCATTTCGCTTTCTTATACAGCTCTCAAGGATCTACTGCTAGACTATGCTCAGTATACAAATTTCGAATGTCGTAAAGGAGGAAGATTTCGTAAAATGATTCATGAGGATATAAAAAAGTCCACTGCATTACGTCACCCCAACCCAGTTCATACTCAAGATTATGCAAACAATTCGTTGATTTTGTATGCAGTTCACGAGGATGGGGACAAGTTTGGTCAGTGTTTGTCCTGTTGCAAGTTCCACTCTTCTAATTCATGTAAATTTCGTAATTCTAAGTGCTTCAAATGTCGTGATATTGGACAAGTTCAGTCAGTTTGTAATGCTAATGTTCATCTTACTGCAACTAATATTAAGTCTTGTAATTCTGATTCTACTGAGTCGAGTATTCATGATGATCATTTATCTTTATCAGCGATTTCAAAAGACAGTGCAGAGTCATATGGCAGTTCAGAGTTAAATGAAATCCAGAATTCTTGTGAGACAACAGTTCCTAATCAACCGATTTATCAGAATTCTCATGCTATTGTACCAAGTATGACTTTTCCTGATGATTCACATATTTCTAATGAAATTACTTGCAATTCTGAGGAAAATATGTTAAATGAACCTAATCATGATCGAAAACCTGATGTGGTTTGGATAGATGCTGATTTTTCTAACGATCCTACGCCCTGCAACGACAGTCCTGATGAATTTCATGAGAATATTTCAGAAGAATCAAATCCTGATGTCATATCATATGTTACCTATCCTCATAATGTATTTGATCTTCGTGAAAAACCTGCCCAATGCGAAGCACGAGTACTAAGTGACCTCGAGTTTTATTATATTTCGGATGATTTCATATCAACTGCTGTTTACTCTTATCACAAAAACAGTTCTAATGTTTACTCTAAACAATGTGAGATATATGTTTTAAATGAAGCCACATTATTCATAACTTGGGAGTATAAAGATCCAACATTATTTCGTGGGGGGGGGATAGTGTTGAAAAATCTATGGTTCGAATTCTAGATATTATTGATTTCATTACAAAACCGACATGCTGGTTGTATACAATTCCAGGTGAGTCTGTTCCGATTTCGTTTGTTAGTTCCAATACTAATGAGCACTTTCTAGATACTACAAAGTTTTTATCTTATACAATGTCGGACAGACTCAGGATGAACTTAACAAGAAGACGTACAACCGATTACAAACACATACTTCTATTTAAGCTGTGGCGGATGTGGTGTTTGAATTAACTAATGATTCTTTTGTACTTGTTGAATGCTCGATTTCGAATTCTAAATACAGTACATTCGTTGTGCCTGTGTCTTCTTAATTCAATTGCGTTAATCCTGGAATTCCTAATTCATACGATAATTCGAATACTATATCTCCACAGTAGTTCCTTCTCCATTGAGTAGATCATGAAAGGCCTGAAACTTATTGCTGAGGACTATCTTGAATTTGTTGAGTTTGTCAGTATCCTGAAGAAAGGCCGTATTGAACTTTTGTGATACTGTCTGCCCCATTGTCCAGTGCTTCTTGAGTTTCAATTTCATCTTGGCGACCTGCAAGTGATGATCTGATGCTATATCAGCTCCTCTCTTGGTTCTCACGTCCTCTATAGTCCTCCTGAACGTTTTGTTGATGCAAATATGGTCGATTTGGTTTTGTGTAGAGTGATCCGGTGAAGTCCATGTGGTTTTGTGTATGCGTTTATGTGGGAATATGGTGCCGCCTATGACCAGCTTATTGAAGGCACATAGATTTGCAAATCTCTCACCATTTTCGTTTCTTTCTCCCAGTCCGTGTCGTCCCATGATGTCTTCATATCCAGTGTTGTCCGTTCCAACCTTGGCGTTGAAATCTTCCATCAGAATGGTCAGGTCCTTTGTTGGGCACTTCTCGACTATTGACTGCAGCCTATTGTAGGATTGATCTTTAGCGTCTTCATTGTAGTCGTTGGTAGGCGCATAGCATTGGATGATGTTCATTGAGATGCCCTCTTTCTTTGTTTTAAACGAGGCTTTGATGATCCTTGGTCCATGAGATTCCCATCCTATAAGTGCATTTTGTGCTTGTTTGGACAGCATCAATGCAACTCCTTGTGTATGTGGTGCGTTTTCTTCTTCATGGCCGGAGTATAACAGGAGCTCTCCTGTAGTTAGTCGTTGTTATCCAACTTGTGTCCAATGTGTTTCACTGATCCCAAGTACCTCGAGGTTGTATCTTCTCATTTCTGCAGCAATTTGGAAGGCTCTTCCGGTGTCCCACATTGTACGAACATTCCATGTACCTAAATAAATGGTCGCTCTGGTTGTCAGAAGGGGCATCGGCCTCGTAACTTCCGAAGGAATTCGGCTTTCATCAGGAGGCGTCATAATTCTTCTAAATGAAGACCTCCTGACTCCCAGGGCAGAGTTTAAAAGGTTTGAATGGTTTGAATAATTTTTTCTGGTTAGTGTTTTTTTAGCGAGTTAGTTTTCTACGGAATGGGGACGCTAACCCCATGCCCAACCCTCCTCCTTTATCCGGGCTTGGGACCGGCAGTAGCCCCCGGAGGGACTCCAGGCGGAGTTTTCATATAACCATACGAAGGAGTTATTCATGAAGCCTTCGTATACCACACAGAGGAACGTACTTTAGTATGATCAAATAAACTCTCGTCTGCTGGTTTGTTTACTGCATTCAGACCAAATATTTGTAGTTCGGTCCTAATAGTAGTGCAGTTTAGTGTTGTACTGTTTACGTAACAATCGATCAAAACACATGAATATGTAAAATAAATTGAAATCGTTTCCCAAAAAATTCTTTTTCCTCTCGTGCACACTGAAAGGATGCGTCAATAAATCTTCAGCACTAGATATTCTAATGCTAGGAGGGACTAGTTAAGATTTCACTATTAATAAGGTTAAACAATTGATCTAGATTTAGACAGGGTAAGGTAGGAATAAACATATTTTATGTGACGTACTAGGTCTAGTATGTCATCAAATAAATTTTAAACCCTCTTGAAACCAACTTTACTATTGACAATCTGCCTTACTTTATTCCAAATTATTTTTTAAAATAAAAATCCTTAATTCGCAAGCCCATAAAACTTTGGTTCCTCTAAAACTAATCACTGTGAAGATAGGCGTCCAACATATTTTAATATCTTGACTTTTATTAGGTAATGTTTGGTTAAGAATGGACTAAGAATAAACGGACGTCATGCAGATGGTTAGAATGAAGAACAAATAAGCTACGGCTACTTGTGGAGTACTGCATATTCATCGCCGAAAAGCAATAAGTGTGACGTCGCGAAGAGTAGTGTTACTGAAAGCTAACTTCGGGATTTTAGAAGAGAGGCTAAAAATCCATGGAGCGTATCTGGCACTTTCTGCTCACCGGACAGATAACCCTGGTCGTAATGGTTTTCTCAATATAATACTTTTTCACAAATGTTTTACATTATGTCTGTTTGTTACTGACTGACGTTGCATATTATTGTATTTTGGTCTGTCTAATTGTGGTAAGTAGAAATATTTGAATCATTATAAGGACCAGGAACCCCCCAAATGTCGCTATTTGGGTCAGATAGAACTAGGTGGGCACAAATGAACGTACTGTATTTGGAATTCAAATTCAGATCCACATCAAGTACAAAAGAATCATTGGTTCAGCCGAACATCACGGTAGTACATTTCTGAATAGAATTTACAAAGCTTTTTCAGTTATGGCTGCTTTGTCTAGTCCTTCAGAATTATTTATTCCTACACAAATAGTTTATCGATTGAGATGGCCTTTACTGAAAAATAACTTGACAAAAAATGAGTAAAAATATGTCTTTACAAGATTTTCAAACAGTTTTTTACCAATAAAGGTGGAAATATATATTACTTTACATTCCACATTCATTTGAAGTTAATTTCTAATTCGTGTTTCTTGCATATTGAAATGACACAGTTCATTTTACGGTTATGTGCGCTACTGAGTTGCTGTCAATGAAGGATTCAGTAAGCAAAGAAGATAATACAAAATCCAAAGCTCAGCTTAAAGCTGAAAGGAGGGCTATTCAAGTAAGATCCTAATAACTTTAACTATAATACAAGGAAGCTCAAAGAGCTGCGAAGGCTGCTTCTAAAGGTACTGACAAGCCAAAAGTCACGCAAACACCAAATGCCGCTCCTAGTAGTATGATAATAAATATTGGTCTCTAGTTTTAAATATTTTCAATACAGATGCACCAAATACTCACCCAAATCAGGACACAGGCATGGATGAACAAAAGACTATTTCCTCAATGGATGAGAAAGCATGTATCGGTGTGGTGCAAAGTGAGACTATCTGTATTTTCGTTATTTTCCCCACTCAGGTCAAAATAACCGCCTCGATTATTCCAACCTTAAAATTGCCGAAGTTCCGATGTCCAGAACACAGGAGTCCTGTCGCGTTCACCTCTTCAAGCATCTTGACCAACCAGACAAGCGAGTAAATGTTATCAGTTATCTTGGGTATGTAGATTTCCTTATGTACTTATCTTAGCATCTATGCGACATAAACTTTAGTCAGTCATGAACATCAGGTGTAGTTTTCATCTCAATGTCATTAGTGTTCTAAACTATTTGAGTTGCGACTGCTATTCTCATTTTATCCATACTCTGCGGGTAGTCAACTCACTTTATATCTACCCTTTAAAATTGAAGCAGCTTGGTTATGCTGCAGTTCCACTTCCTGGTAAACTCCTTAGACATGCTTGGTGACTCACAGTAAAGAGAAAGTATTATGTTAGGTTTTCACTTTCACCTCTTTATTATTCCTCTCTGTAAATGTAGGTTATATTTATATCTAAGTAAAAATGTCTAGTACTTCACAGGCTAGTGATTTGGCAGAGTTTCGTTCTTACAATGTTGTTCATCTTGATACTTATCCCCATTTATTGGTAATCACATGAAATCAAAGTATTCTGTTAAATAAAATGTAGCAGCTATTCCGTCTTTTCATGGTCTATGATGTGAAAAAAAGTTCGTAGTTAGCTTTAAGACCTCTAAGTTTTGTTCAGTGCAGAAAGTCGTTTGCAAGTCTGAATATCATTTCTTCATTGACCCATAAGGCGGTGAGTTGTTTTCAGATTACTTGTATAACTACCATGTCTGAATCTATTTTAGTGGTTCGAATAATTAGAATTGGTGTTGAACTACTCGATTTCAACATTGAAATATTTCCAGCATGTGTACATCATAAAAGTATGAATTGGTGACTCAAAAATGTCCTTTAATATGACATCTAAACCTCTGAGGAGTATGGTCGAGTATTTTAGCTTTTGTTTCAGGGTCACTAGTACATGCTAACCTGATCAGTAAGTTGAGAAGTCAAACTTTGGCGACTGTTAGTTATATCAAATCAGTTTATTTCGTTTTAGTAAAGTTGATATATCTAAATAATGTTCACCAATTTTTACTAATGATCCCTAAGTGTTGTTTTTTCATGTTATTCGCTTGAGCTGAAGTATTTTATCAAAATTGTCCCATTCACCCTATGCATTACCTTATTTTTCTTTATTCAGTTTAGGGACTCGTTCCTCAATCCATCCTTCATTCCTCACTCTGGGTGTCGATTTTGACGAAGATCGAATATGGGGCTCCAATGAGAAGTGTTTAGCGTTTTTGTCGTCATGTGAAGAACTCATACGTTCATTCATTCCGAAGTCACCTTCCGAAAGAATGAGCAATCACACTGGAACAAATGATGCTCTGTTTTGCCGGAGTTTCGGACCAGTTTTGCAAGCTCATGTAAACTTTCTTCAGCTTTGTCGTCCATTATCTGTTACGATACATAATGCATATCAGTATCTGAAGCAGACACTTACTCGCCTAGATTCCGTGGAAGATTGGGATGAGGTATGATATTTTATGATTGTATGTTATACTCTTATCAATGTTTTTGGATTTCTTGGTTTGCTCCCCATTGTTAACATTAACTGTATCACTTTCCTCAATCTCTCGCTACGACAAAGAAACATGGACTATGTAATTAAAAGACATAAATAGGCCTGAAGTGTTTGGTCATAAATGTTTTTGAAACATCTCTCACATATAGTAAAACCATCGAATTAGTAGTGCTGAGGTTAAGCCAGGATACTAAGTGAAAAGCGAGTCCATTGTTGAGTTTAGAAACTTACGTTGATCAACAATTAGCAAATATGTTATGGATGGCTAACTAACTTTTACCCCAGCCTTCAGTGTTAACTGTGATATGAGTGAGTTAAGAAAGATTTATTGGTGAGAAAACCGAGACGACATGATTTCTCTGGCTGATGGTTCGAGCTGTCATAAGTTCCAGACTTTTTGGCTGGAACTGATACAATAGTTGCAGCCAATATCATAAGACACTTGGTTATCTATCCCAAAACCAGTTACTGCTAGGGTTACATTTATTTTGTGTGTCCCTCCAAGTCATTAGTTTATTATCATCTTTAGCTTCAGTCTTTAGTATCATTTGTTTCTTTTCAGCTGTGTTCCTCGTGTTTAGAATTCCGCTGCTTTCGATATTATCTTCCATAGTGTTTTTTGTCTTGCTGCTTTCTCGCAGTGATGTAAGGTGCACCAAATTGGACCAATGCATACTCGTGCCAAGTTTGATATTCATAATGACTGACTGTGGATGACTTGCATCCATGATCACTCAATGACTGATTGAAGCACAAATAGTCAACACTGAAAAGTCAGACTTCCTTGGTCAATAATGTATAAGTTACTGAAACAACTTCACTTTTCTGTTCTGTACACTAGCCATAGTCCTTAACTTGCAGGCGATAGTTGGCGTTCTATAGAAGCCTCTTAACTGTGTCATTAAACAGCATATCTGGCCATAAAATCATACGTCTGCCAGGCCTTTATGGTTGGTAATATTGGTCGTTCCGAAGGTGGTGGTAAGCTATCATGGGAAGTAACTACATCTAGTATTTTCAACGGGGTTATAACTGTTCGGTTAGTGTTTGACTAAAAACACCACTTTCTTTCATACAGATGTTCTTTAGTCGCTCTACGTCAAATAAGCAACATATTTCCATGAAATGAAACCTTTAACAAAAATCAAATGCCTGCTTTAGTAGTCTTGTTGCATAGTTGAGCCCTGGTTTTCAAATAATTGATGAGGTTTTTGCCCATACATATGTTTGTTCAATTTTTACTTATAGCGCAAGTGAAAAGTGTTCACGCTTATTAAAGAGGGAATGTATTACATAGTTTTCACTTTTTCGTAGTTAATGTAAAACAGTCATTACAATTAGATGAGCTAATTTTATAGTTAGTGACAACACTATTCGAATTAACCAAAGTCACTGATGATTGTCTCAAGCTCGTATTACAAGGTTGAAACGACAATGTGTGGGTCAAGGCCGAATATATAAACCTGTTCTTGATAAGTAAGTTACATGCTTTTAAAAATTACTCTGGGACTTATTTCGAACATAACTGAACAACAACATTAATAAGGACGTAACAACTTTACAGCATTATATCATTACATATAACCAACGTCAATCTATTTTTGTATATTTAGTGCAGAGGCAGTTTTTTATCAGCCATCGTCGAATTTAGACGTGGTTCAATTTACTTGGCAGGAGATGAAATTGTAGATCGTACAGTTAATTTGATTCGTTCTGGTGAATGTGTTTGTATATTTGGATATTCATCCTTAGTAGCCCGTGTGCTGGAACGTGCATGGAAATCTCCATGCAACACATCTGTCAATCAAGTTGATGCAAATGTTGATTTTTTAGCTGACAAAATGAAAACATGTTTTGTAAACACTAAATCGGATCCATCAAATAAAACTACAAACAGAGTTTTTAGTGTTTTGGTTGTTGACTCTCGACCGAAATTTGAAGGTAGACAAATGCTAACCAGATTGTTGAAAGCAGGAATACCATGTGAATATACACATATTGGTGCATTGCCAAGTGTTGCAAATAAGGTATGAATAAGTTTACTCTTGGATAATAGTGTGTAAAAATGTTTTACTAACCCTCATAATTTTCACTTCTGTGTAATTAACATATACATGTGTAATGGATAAGTTTTAACACCCGAAATTACCAAGCTTTTACACTAAATACAAGCTTGTTACGTACTTTGAATAAATACATGAGTTAATCGTATTCAATCCGTTCACGTGTTCCTATCCGGTTCATATACTTTGTCGCAAATGGTTGTTTAATACAGTCATATGATTTGACTGTCATCGAAGTGGGTACTCAAAAGTTAGGTATTATTATCGTCAGTTCACTCGAGGAAACAGAGACAGCAGAATATGCTTATAATACTACTCCGACTTAATTTCAGAAACCAGTGTTTTGGCGCAAACTAAGAATACAAATAATTACCACGGTACCGAATTCCTTGGAGTTCAATTTTCTCAAATAAGTTGTCTTCGCTAAACAGAAAACTGTTAATCAAGGTTCTTTATTTTTATGTTAGGAATTCTGGTAGTATATTAGTATTATCATTTCGAGTAAAACACGGGTTAAAACTGAGTTTTTTGTTGATGAGAAATCAGGTTAAAAATATACAGATATTGTAATGACTTACTTCCCAAATTGAGAAGTTATCGTCATATCAAAGTAAGAATTGCTGAAAACAGTGAAATAAACGAATTCCGTCATATACTGCTTCAGTAATAATAACTTTTGGTTGATTGCTTTCGGGGAGAAATGTTTTGGTGCATATTGAAACTCATTGTGGAAGTGCACCATTTTCTGTATGTCATTATAATCAGTAATCATGATGACTGGATTCTTCTACACTACTGTCTATTGCACAACTCATTGTAATATTGTGACAGCTAAAAGCTGACCTATAAGTTGTTTATCTACGTAACTGGATGGAAAATTAATGATCACTAAGGTTGGATAATTAGAAACAAATCAACTAATGAAGACAGGCGTGAACGGCGTTAAACCTGACTCGAGTGTATCAGTCCACAGTGTTGCACGTTACACTAATGACTGATGGAAAATTACATCAACACTAAGCGAATTAGATCAGAATGAGAAGTGTAGTATAACATCATTCAATACTCAAAAATATATAATGATAGTAGGATAGTACACATTCCAACTACCCCTGTCAACATTGGTTTAGAACCACATTAACTGATTTACCACCTTCATTCAAGATTTTTCTTAGTCATGTCTACATACCATATATTCCTCGATTACTCGTACGAGGATAAATTGCTGGAATACAATTTCTTATAAATTAAAGACATGTAGTGATACGATATACTATTTACTTACTTCCGCCTGTTAATCCCAATGGAGCATAGGCCGCTGACCAGCATTCTCCAACCCACTCTGTCCTGGGCCTTCTTTTCTAGTTCCATCCAATTCTTGTTCATTTTTCTCATGTCTATCTCCATTTCTCGGCGTAATGTGTTCTTTGGTCTTTCTCTTTTCCTTTGGCCTTCAGGATTCCATGTGAGGGCTTGTCTTGTGACGCAGTTGAGTGCTTTCCTCAACGTGTGTCCTATCCACTTCCAGCGCTTCTTTCTGATTTCTTCCTCCGCTGGGATCTGGTTTGTTCTCTCCCACAGTACGTTGTTGCTAATAGTGTCTGGCCAACGGATCTGAAGTATTTTGCGCAGACAACTGTTAATAAACACCTGTATTTTCTGGATGATGGCTTTCGTAGTTCTCCAGGTTTCCGCCCCATACAGTAGAACTGTCTTGACATTTGTATTGAAAATCCTGACCTTGGTGTTGGTTGACAGTTGCTTTGAGTTCCAGATGTTCTTCAGTTGTAAATATGCTGCTCTTGCTTTGCCGATCCGCACCTTCACATCTGCATCAGATCCACCCTGTTCATCAATGATGCTGCCCAAATACGTAAAGGTTTTTACATCTTCCAAATCTTCTCCGTCAATTGTGATTGGATTGGTGCATTCTGTGTTGTATTGGAGAATCCTGCTTTTCCCTTTGTGTATATTGAGACCTACTGCTGCTGAAGCTGCTGTCACACTGTTCGTCTTCTCCTGCATCTGTTGTTGCGTTTGAGATAGAAGGGCCAGATCATCTGCGAAGTCTAGATCATCCAACTGCATCTTAGATGTCCATTGTATCCCGCGCTTCCCTTCAGACATTGACGTCTTCATGATCCAGTGGATCACCAGGAGAAAGAGAAAGGGTGAGAGTAAGCAACCTTGCCTAACACCCGTCTTCACTTCGAACGACTTTGTCAACTGTCCTCCATGCACGATTTTGCAGTGTAATCCATCATATGAGTTCTGTATGATATTGACTATCTTCTGAAGCACGCCATAGTGTCGAAGAAGTTTCCATAGTGTTGTTCTGTCCACGCTATCAAATGCTTTTTCGTAGTCAATGAAGTTGATGTAGAGTGATGAATTCCATTCAGTTCGTTGTTCCACAATGATCCGTAGAGTTGCGATTTGGTCTGTACACGATCTATCCTTACGGAATCCTGCCTGTTGGTCACGAAGTTGGGCGTCTGCGCAGTCCTTCATCCTGTTTAACAATACCCTGTTGAAGACTTTTCCTGGTATTGAGAGAAGAGTGATGCCCCTGTAGTTATCACACTTGCTGAGATCGCCTTTCTTCAGTATTTTGATCAGAAGTCCTTCTTTCCAGTCTCTTGGTACTTGTTCCTCATCCCAAATCTTATTAAAGAGAATGTGGAGTATTCTTGCAGTTGCCGCTACGTTTGCTTTTAGTGCCTCTGCTGGGATGTTGTCCGGTCCTGCTGCTTTGCCACTCTTGATTTTTCTGATGGCCATGCTGATTTCTTCAATTCTTGGTGGGCCAACATTGATTGGGAGGTCCGTGTGTGCTGCTTCGATGTTGGGTGGGTTCAGTGGAGCTGGTCGATTCAAGAGTTCTTTGAAGTGTTCTACCCACCTGTTTTGTTGCTCTTCAATGTTGGTGATTACCTTGCCTTCCTTGCTTTTCACTGGTCGTTCTGGTTTGCGGCGATTTCCAGAGAGTTTCTTTGTCGTGTCATACAATTGTCTCATGTTTTCTTCTCTTACAGCCTTTTCCGCCGTCGTTGCTAAATCTTCCACATATTTACGTTTGTCAGTTCTGATGCTCCTCTTCACTTGTTTGTTTACTTCTGTGTATTCAGCTTGTGCCTTGGCTTTTTCTGCTCTTGTTCGACTGGTATTGATTACTGCCTTCCTTTTCCTTCTTTCTTGAATATTATCCAGTGTATCAACAGTGATCCATTCCTTGTGATGGTGTTTCTTGTGACCCAGGACCTCATGACATGTTGAAGTGATTGCCTCTTTGATCCCCTTTTATTTTCTCTCCATAGTAGTTCCTTCTCCATTGAGTAGATCAAGAAAGGCCTGAAACTTATTGCTGAGGACTATCTTGAATTTGTTGAGTTTGTCAGTATCCTGAAGAAAGGCCGTATTGAACTTTTGTGATACTGTCTGCCCCATTGTCCAGTGCTTCTTGAGTTTCAATTTCATCTTGGCGACCTGCAAGTGATGATCTGATGCTATATCAGCTCCTCTCTTGGTTCTCACGTCCTCTATAGTCCTCCTGAACGTTTTGTTGATGCAAATATGGTCGATTTGGTTTTGTGTAGAGTGATCCGGTGAAGTCCATGTGGTTTTGTGTATGCGTTTATGTGGGAATATGGTGCCGCCTATGACCAGCTTATTGAAGGCACATAGATTTGCAAATCTCTCACCATTTTCGTTTCTTTCTCCCAGTCCGTGTCGTCCCATGATGTCTTCATATCCAGTGTTGTCCGTTCCAACCTTGGCGTTGAAATCTTCCATCAGAATGGTCAGGTCCTTTGTTGGGCACTTCTCGACTATTGACTGCAGCCTATTGTAGGATTGATCTTTAGCGTCTTCATTGTAGTCGTTGGTAGGCGCATAGCATTGGATGATGTTCATTGAGATGCCCTCTTTCTTTGTTTTAAACGAGGCTTTGATGATCCTTGGTCCATGAGATTCCCATCCTATAAGTGCATTTTGTGCTTGTTTGGACAGCATCAATGCAACTCCTTGTGTATGTGGTGCGTTTTCTTCTTCATGGCCGGAGTATAACAGGAGCTCTCCTGTAGTTAGTCGTTGTTATCCAACTTGTGTCCAATGTGTTTCACTGATCCCAAGTACCTCGAGGTTGTATCTTCTCATTTCTGCAGCAATTTGGAAGGCTCTTCCGGTGTCCCACATTGTACGAACATTCCATGTACCTAAATAAATGGTCGCTCTGGTTGTCAGAAGGGGCATCGGCCTCGTAACTTCCGAAGGAATTCGGCTTTCATCAGGAGGCGTCATAATTCTTCTAAATGAAGACCTCCTGACTCCCAGGGCAGAGTTTAAAAGGTTTGAATGGTTTGAATAATTTTTTCTGGTTAGTGTTTTTTTAGCGAGTTAGTTTTCTACGGAATGGGGACGCTAACCCCATGCCCAACCCTCCTCCTTTATCCGGGCTTGGGACCGGCAGTAGCCCCCGGAGGGACTCCAGGCGGAGTTAACATACAATTTAGATTTAAATTATTATTAAATATTCCGTAAAAAATGGTTTCACTGGTTAATTTCTTGTCGAGAGCTCTCATTATTTGTTGATAAAGCACTTACATGACATAGCTTCTGTTACACAATCTAGATCTATCCTCTGGTACACAAAATGAATTAAGATTACCATACCATACTGAAGTAAATCTCGACTAAAATTTATTTGTGTATGGTAAATTTATCTCAGGTTGATCTTTAATATACTGTCCTACTTTTAACAACGCTTGTTGGATTATTCTAATATGATTGAAAATCAAATTTCTTCGTTGCAAGATATGTCTTGTGTTTCTGGTTTTCATTCGTTAACAGTGTAACATTCGCTTTCAAACTAAGTATTGATTACTTTTTATTTATTTTTATTTGAAATATAGATATCTCTAGTTATTCTGGGCGCCCATGCTCTTCTTAGCAATGGCTACGTACTAGGTCGTATGGGGAGCGCTCAAGTAGCCAACATTGCAGCCTCTATTTCTCATGCTCCAACAATAGTCTGTGCTGAAACTTACAAATTTTGGGAGCGCGCCCATTCTGATGCATTCGAGTATAACGAACTTGGAGATCCTGACGACATTTGGCGAGGTCCACGAGGTACATCACCAGACTATAAAAAGGGCATTCCTGGTTTCGGTCCAACTGGACTTCCAGATAGAATTGAATCTTCTACAACTGATTTGAGTGAATGGCGTTCAAATTATAGTCTTAGACTGTTACATTTAGAATATGATGTGTTACCGCCTACATTGGTTACAGCTGTAGTAACTGAAAAGGGCACCTTACCTACAACCTCTGTTCCTGTAGTCCTGCGAGTAAAACAAGCTTCTATAACCAATGTGTAATTTTTTTTATTTTCTACATTTTGTAAAAGTTTACTTATTTGTTGTTATGATTTGGTATTGTAGGTGTATTGAAATGCAATAAACGCACAGTATTAACTCTCACTATTTTGCTATAATTCGACTAGCGATTATACTCGGTTGTTCGGACCAAATTTAGTAAATATTTAAGGTTTAGGTTAAATATTGGTTAACTGAATTAATCCTTTTTACGCATTGCACAGCGAAGAGGTAAGTTTAACCGGTAGGTTTTTTCATTCCTAACTACATTGTTTAAACTCTTAGAAGTGATTTCATCAGATATCCGTTAATTAAAAAGCTGCAACATTTGCATCAAGATAATTGATTTTAAGCCAGTAGTTAGGTTATCCTAGCAGGCTATATTATCTCCAACACTTACTCCTTAAGTTTCTACTATCCCTGGCAAGTCGGTTAAAGAACAAACGAAGAAAATCTCAGACTACATGACTAAATCATACTGTGGAGGATACCTGACTGTATTGATATTATTTTTTTAAACAAACAATTAAGGTTTTTAGCGAGTCTATTTTTTCTATAAAAGAATGAAAGGTTGAAAAAAAGACTACAGGTATAACATTGAGTTGAAAGACAAAACTTTAACTTGTGTACTTAATTGCAATTAATAGTTATTTGTTATCTGTTCGGTCGAATGGCGCCGTAAAAGATCGAGGGGAGTACTGTCATTTGTTATTTCCTAAGTCGCTCTCACTAATTACAGCTGAACCAAAGTAATACGAGGATTCTTCCTAAAATTCGCATGCACATGCGTTTGTAGCAATTGTTATAAGCGACCTTATTGCAAGTTGACTAAACTGTGCAGGAATACACTGAAGTATAAACTAAGGTATTCCAAACCAGTTAAAACTAATTAAAACTAACTTCTGTTACCCGTATGTTCCTAAAAAATGCTAAATTTAGACAAAAGCAATTTAACGTGACAAGCACACAGACCTTAAACAGTGGGTTTGTTCTTTAACTTAACGGCGATATTCAGATTTGTTCACCGAGCGATTTCTTGACAATTACTATCATTCGAATATGCATTGAGAACGCTCATTCTCTTTTGTTTTACCCAACCTAGCCTCTGATTTGTTTTGGGAGTAGTATTCCCATCACTCAATCTTTCATGAATTTGTTCTTCACCATGTGACTTTCTGTGCACACAGAAAGCTTCATCGTTTCTGTTAGTGATGTTGTCGTAAGCTACAAGTATTTGACCGTAGGCACATTCAATGTATTGCTCTCATGGTGAAACCATAGTTTTGATATCCTAAGGTTACACATAGAGTACTAGGTAAAGTTGGTTGATGTTTCGAATTTTCGTTGACTGATAACGCTAGGGCATTTATTACGTATCCCAGGTCATGGCCTACCAATACACCATGTCGACTGGTCATAGAAGCTGTATGTTCATTCCCATTTTCTCGTAAAGCTGAGGATATCTTAGAAAAACTGAAGATGTTATCTGTTTCTTGACAAATTTTAATGATCATCCCTATGGATGATAACAAATTAGGAGTAGAGGTTACTCCTGTCTGAAATGTGGTCGTTTTACCGGTAGATTAAAGAGCCTGGGATTAATTTTTCTCAGTCTTTGTAGTAGTTGTTTCAATACAACACTTGAGAGTACTATATATTGGCTCATGTAAACTGAGAACAATTACGCTAATTGTAATCATATAAACCATCCATTCATCCTGTTCGCGGCCATCGTAGAGCTCTAGCTTGGTGGTTTAATTACTCGATTTTCCTTCTAATTGTGCTTTGGTTTGAGTGGTTGGGTTGACCGAATTCTAGTAACTTGCCGTTCAAGGTTGTAGCAGTAGCATAGATTCTAGTTTAATGATATCCTCTTATAGTTGTCATGCTTATCCATCACTATTTTCCTCATTTGCTTAAAAGATTTTACCATTTGTGGGGAATCGTATGATTTTGTTCTGCGTTCAATTCTCTGCTGTATATATGAAGATCATAGGGTGCCTTGTTCAGCTCAAAGAAACGATATTGCGAAACAGACCTAGATTATTTATTGCGCCTACATATTTTAGATGTTATCAAGTGAAAATTAATATAAAAAATAACGTAAAACACCATAGTTGTTCGTTGATCATGCTACAAGATATATTTATTCTCACAGATTAACCGTAAAATATCAAATTAAGCAAAGCTTCTGACACCTATCAAACAAGCGTTCACTTTCCTCAAATGCTTTCACACGTTACATGGCATAAATTGGTCTAATGGTAAGAGATCACATCACCCCCAAGTTTCACCAATCAATAGTACATATTGTTCTAAAAGTTGTTTTGGAGAGAGTGTAGGACGGAATTTACTATGCGAATTTCTATTATAAGTTTGCTTTTCCAAAGACGGGTAGCAACTTTGTTTAAGCTGTTCAATCATACTAATATCTTAACTACTTAGTATGTTTGTTAGTAATTTGAGTAATTTGACTTAAAATATGTTTCATTTTGGTGGGGGCAGAAATGACGAGATCCAAGTCGACGAAGCTTCATGACGAAACCGGGTAATTTGATATTTTCAATTAGAGATCAATGCCTACACCAAGACTATTCTCTTTTTGGATAAGCCATACTCCAGCGCCTCGTCCAAGACAATGTGGTCAAACACTTTTTTACAATCTAGTTGTAAGGCCGAATCTTTCTCTACCTACGTCGATTCCAGCAGACGCGTTTTCGCGAAAATCGTCAGGCCCCAAGGTATAGGCTTGTATATGATGGGTGACTTGCATTAAATTAAATACACTCTAATTGACCATTTCAATCGTAATCTTCTGAATAGAAAAATAGAACACAGTTACTGAGCTAAGTGATTTATAGTTATGGTTAAGATAAGTTAGTTGATTCATATCAATCAATGAGAAATTTTAGTTCATATCTGGTTATTGACAAGTTCCAACAGAAAATCTTATTCGTCGTACTATCCAATAACTAGATCGAATATCTTTGCTAAAAACAGTCTATAAAAGTATCTTGGATTCCGGAACACTGATTACTGTTCACCAAAATGTTAGTGTATTTAGTCTAATCCAATAGTGCATCAACCGTATTACTCATAATTCAGAAAAAGTAACTTTGACTAGTAGATGTTACATGATCTAAATTTTTGAAAGAGTATAGTTTTCGTCGGCATTCCAAGTATTTCCGCTTTCGGGACAAAATAACGCACAAGTGTTTATTGATTGCCATCTATTACGAATACTGATTGTAACCATTTATATTGTCAGTTTAACAGTCTGATATTAATAAACATGAATCTTTAAGCGCTTCACTTAAAACAGCGATGGGCATAATGTAAACTGTCACAAAGATTGGGAGCTCTGTAAATTTCTATAATCCTTTCTTCAGACGCATCAAAATAGACAAGTATGAAAATGTATTCTTGTATTAATCATGGACAAAAAAGGAAGATAGTTAACTTCTACTGAAGGAAAATGAGAGAAAAATTTCATCAATTTTATTAATAATCGACAGATGGTGATTTTATCTATCAACCAAGGTAAATAACAGACTTATTTTCTAACTCTTCGTGTTATTTGTTCTCTCAAAATAGAGTTTGTTCTTGTTTGCAGTAGTTGTAGCAATAGTAATAATGATAACAGTGATAATATATTTGATGTTTACGCCAATCCATTACCAGGTGGTCAATTTAATAAATCGAATTCAAGTATTCCTTCACTCTCTTTCTAACCTTTCCCACCCCACCTTCCGCCACTTAACTCGTAGATATACAAGTTGACTACTAAGATGAACACTACTTCTAATCTCAAACTTATATAAATTATGATTATTAACTTTTTTTATTATCATTGGATTTACTATCTCATGTATTTACATACTGCTTCATTTCTTTCAGGTAAATGTTCGTATTTATTCGAAGAAATGCATATATAGATAACTGAACAGATATACTCCCGTGAACAGGAGAATCGGTGTATCTTCTCTACTAGCATGAATACTTAAAATGATCAGGAAGCAGTGTGTTTAAAAAATAAACATAACCTGAGCTCATATATTCAGTTGGTTGTAGACTCCAGGAAGATAAGGCAACTATCCAGTGCTCAGTTGTTTTCAACAGTTTTGAAATGATATCGGTCTATGCTGAAGATTAACTTAACTTCAAACTGAGCAATATCCGAAAACACCTCACTCAAATAATTTTAATTATTTGCTCTTTACTGACTAGTTTTAATACGAATTCCTGATATTCAAATGAGCAACAAAAACTGATGACGTTAAAGTACATCTAAAGTATGATAGATGTCACTGACTTCACTACATGATTGTTGCACAGTATGGCAACTTAGCTAAACTTTTAAATGTAAGTTATCTAATTCCGACTTAAGGGTCTAGGTTTATTCTGATAGCCATGAGAACTGAAAATTCTTCGCTGATTCAAGTGAGGCGTAATAGGTGCTCATTATTAACCGAATACCTTCGGCTTTTAATTAGATTAACTTCCACATTCTAGTTTAGATTTCACATTATCTGGTAAATGTTAGACCATAAGTCTTTTAGTTGTAAAGTATTTTGGAGATTTATATGTACAGAAGAGTATATGAACAGAATACATGGGACAAAGGAACCTAATTATATGTGATGAGTTTGAAACACAATTGATCTGTGAGGATTTAGTACTCTATCGTATTGTAGTACCACGTAAAACTGGCTTTTAGCCTTGTAAAGAAATATACATCTAGTCATTGAGTTACATCTTGCTTTATGGAAAATCAATGAAAATTAGGATTAGTCACTTGTTATTCAAAATGTTAGTTATCCATTTAAAAGAAAACTAACATCAAATTGAAGTGTTTCTGCCAATATTGGTAATCTAAAAACAGGTCAAGATAGAAACCTATATGATTATATTGCTTGAAGAAATTGTGAATAATTCTCATTTTTACTATTCAATTGTAATATTACAAAAAATGTTATTTATGTATGATGTTCGTGTTGATATTCATTCAAAATAAATTTTTAAACATGCAACGAATTGATGATGCTGTTGGGAAGTGTTCACTTTTGTACTAAAATCTGCTCAAACATATAAAAGAAAGAGAAAAGAGAATGCGTTTTATCCCATTAACTTCATTGTTTAAAAAAAGTAATGAGACTGGTTCATAAATAGAAGACTATTTATTAACCAGACTAATTGCTAATGACGAATTTATGTAATATTCAAGAAGATATGTAAAAACCCTCAATCTTCTCCTTCTACAATATTGATCATTGAGTTTTATTAATTGACATTTAAAAACCATTAAAACTATTTTAATTCCAAAAAACCGATTTGCCGATACATTTCAGTTCTTCAAATTGTAAGTCAGAACCTTTACTTAAATGTAGCCGTAAAAAACTCAAATTTAAGCCTCCACAGTAGCATTAATTTGTATTTATACATCTTTTTTATATAACATCTTTACTTGGCCATTGGATGAACTGATTTTAATGTCAATTCGCCTTTACATTATTCTTCAACTTAAATGTTGTACCTCCAAAAGCTTCGTTTCGAATTTAAAATCTTATACATTTTGTCAATTCAAATCATGTTTGTCATCAACTTTTCCAATATCGTAGTGTTGTTGTTGCCAACACTATTGATCTTGTCATGTTTTTATCAAATATAATCCTCAAATTTGATTGACATTATTTCCATTTGTGTAGTTAGTTTCCAATCAAAATATATTTCAATGAATGATTTTTACATAATCATCTTTTAATTTCTGGAGCATTCTCTATTAAAACAACAATGTCCTTTCTTATTTGCTTGTCATGACTTCCAAATGGTTACTAATTAACTGACTATTTATTTTTATTTATTTAAACACATAAACATTGGTACAAGGATGCACCACATAAATCATTCGATTTGTGTGAGGACTGGATACTGCCTGGGTGTCCAAAGCGAAGCAGGTTGTTTTCTTAGGGGCCATACCCGTAGCTTTCGACCTAAAGGTCTGATCCTCAAGGCAGTGGAGCAATGTCGGGAGATGCAGTCCCATGGTCGGCGGCGACCAATAATGGGTTCATACGCCTTTTGTTCCCTCAGGACCCTGGGGCCCATGTACACCATTGGTTTGGAATCAGGGTTCCCCAATCCCCCAGGCGAACCCTTCGTGTCCACCAACCCAGTTAAAACGCCGAACATTCGCTTTTCATCCTCTCAATTTCGTAAACAACACCCGTAGTGCGAGAAGGCAGTGAGTAGGACTTCCCTGGTACTGGCTGTATGCACGTGGCCATGTGAGAGCATTTCAAGAGGGAGAGCTGACTCTCCCCACCCTCGGCCGCACCAGGGCATTTGGGGGCAATTATGTTTATAGGCATACATCACTCATACATATCTTAACAATTAAGAAGTCAATAGTTCTCTACAAAAGGTTTTATTAGCGTTTTCGACTATTCTGATCTAGGGTTAGATGTAGAAACATTTCTTTAGTCATATGAATTATAAATCTCATCAAACATTTCTATCTAATTCAGAATTACCGTTCATTTCATCTGGCAGTGGTTGTATGCACGTGGCCATGTGAGAGCATTTCGAGAGGGAGGGCTGACTCGCTCCACTTTCGGCTGTATCAGGGTATCTGGGGGCAATTAGTTGACTAGCCAATGATTGATGCTTTTTCAGATGTATATGTTATTTTCAAAGATTGGAATAGCCATGACCCTACTTAACCTTCTTCAGAGCAAATATATTATAGACGGTTCATATTTGTTGGAATGGTATTTGTCCCTAAATTTTAATACATCACAAACTTACTCAAAATTTGATCTAATTTCTGTAAGTTTTATCTATGTATACAGTTTAAAAACTTGTAAATAAGTACAAATATATTTTAATAGTTGAATTCATGAGTCAATTGAAACTAGATCACCATAGAAAATCTGAAAGCACTGGACGGCAGTTTCATCATAGTATGAGACTCCTCAGTAGTACGCACCAACGATATTTAGCGACTTTCAACTTAAAAACTTTTAATTAATCATGGGTAGTCTTTGTATGGAAATTACTTCATTTTGTTCGAAAAAAAATCAGATTAATTATTACCGGAAGTAAAATTTAAATTACCAATATGGAAAACAATTAGTTTGTACATCTATCATCATCAGGTGAAAGTATATATATAATCTCTTCAATGTTTCAGCAAGCGATGTGATATTATACACTACTCATAATTATCATTATTTGTGCATTCATTTATATTTTTTCAGGTAGTCGCTAATAGTAATTATCAAAAATTGTAAGCGTAGTTGTTGGATTAATAGCGTTTTGATAATAATAATTATTATTGTTTTTATTATTAAAGGTAAATATTTTACTTCCGGTGAACGAAATAGCAAAAATACTATTTTTACTGCAGAAATAGTTTTATCTATAAATATTAAACATAAAAGAAATTACAAGGTATACCCACACAGTATATATGTTCATATCGAAGTTTAAAAACTTGGGTGTAAAATGTTGAAGAGCTAATCGTTATGTACACAACCACTGATCAATCAGCCGATGCAAAGGAAGATATTGCACTAGTAAATTAATTAATTTGAAAACTGGATTTCTTCCAAGTTTGGAAAATAGTGGAGTAATATCTTGAAGTCAATACGAGTACTGAGATTTAAATTAGAGACAAATTACTGAAATTCGTATGATGGAGTCCAACTATGTCATGAATTAAATTATTATTATCGATTTATGATGAATGAGTCGTCAAGTATCATAAATTGACTGAATTTAGAAATGTGGACACTAAACCTCAATTTAGCAGTCTAACAGTAATCCTCTCACTATGAAAATGAAAAATCCTGGGTTCGATCTATAGTTAAGTAGTGGATCTTTCTGTTTTTCATTTATTCGTAACGTAAACTACACTTTGAACAAACTCAACACTCCTGAGATTTAATAGGTATACTTCCATTGCGCTTATCATTTAATAAAGAGGAACTACTATTTTCTCTGGGTCAAACTTTTGATGTTCATATATTATACTTTCAGCTTAGCGCATATTAAATTTATTTATTTGAGCTACATCACCATAATTCAATGATATTTATTGGTAGCACGGAAGATTTCTTAGTTCATCTACTTGTGAGTCGATAATACAATCAACAAATATTTCAAAAAGAAAATTTTAATAATTTTCTACGTTGATTTAACTGAGATCTATGAGCGAAATTATTCATTAAACATGTTTATTGTATTCCACATTGTCTGAAGATGATTGGTTCGATTAATTAATTTTTAATTGGTGAATATTGCCAAGTCACTAGATTGTAAAACTTGACAATTATTCAAAAAATTTTAGTCTTTAAATTATTCTTCAAGTTATGTTTATGTTATCATACAAAACATTTGAAATCTCTTCTTACCTAATAAAATTGAACTCTAATCAATCATTTAATTTAGCTCCCTTTCATTGTCTGATATCATAATTAAAGTGATAAGAGGTTATAACTACTGTTTCGTTCTAAACATTCTCATCATCCGCTTAATAGTACTTGGAAAAGTTTGAAGACATTATGATGTGAAATCTTTTTTTCTATCAAGCTATCTTTTATTTATTCTTGACTACCATTAATCAAGTTCTTTCATGTATATCTGTATTCATTATCTTTCTGACCTTTCTCTCCATATAAATATATATAACGCTATTTATAGGCATACAAATATACCAACATCTGTTAACCAATTTCTGTAGTATATAGGAGTAAAAGATAATTGTAAAATCAAATGAAAAATGAGTATTTGGTGGGAAAATCTAGGTAGCTTCTCTAGAAATAAAACCCAGATATGAAGCAGACAACCGTACTCTTGACATTAGAAGTGGTCATTTTTTGAAGTTTATCCTATTTTTTGTGTTGTATTGTGGTGATTTAGGTTCCTTACATTAAATCAACTCATGACTGACTGATTGATTTTTGCAGTATATTGTGGTGTTGTAATTATTGGAATTCGATAAAACTCAATAGTTCATTTCTTATTATCTGTATGATGATTTCTATTCTACATACAACAGCTATTCTTACTTCTGATTTGTCACATTCGTCCTAATTGGAATAAATATTGATGCTGTCTCAAACTAATCAGTTTTTCAGAATTTTCACTGAAAAGTCTAGTATAGGTCTGACGAATAATTTTCATTCTAATTATAAATTAGTTTCAATTTCTTGGAATAGTATCTAGCATCTTTTTTTGTATTGGTTGTTTGAACATTCTCATTGATGTTTAGGACTTCTATTAATTATTCTCTTATTGGCATATGTGCATCCTGTGTGGATTACAATTGGAAGATTCAATCAATCAATGTTTTAGAAAAAATTAAGCTTCAACCAATTGCACAAGCTAGTGGCTGTCTGGACTCAGTAGCTAATTGGATAACGCGATGGCGTTTGAAGTAAATGGTACTGGGTTCGAGTTCCGAAGTAAACACCAACATCCAGCTGATGAGTCCCAGAAAAGCGTGTTCTGGATTCCACTGCTAGCCACCATCCATCTCTGTTTATAATATCTAACATCGTGATGTAAAATTAACCAAACAATCTTTTTACTCTAATTGATACAGTTATTCAAGTTTAGTTTAGTTACTGCCTCTCTCAAGCCCGGGTAAAAGAGAAGGGTTGGTCATGGGATTAGCAAACCCATCCTGTAGAAAAAAACTAGCTAAAGAAACGCTGACCAGGAAAAGTAACTTAAACTTTGCCTTGGGAGTTCAAGGATCCTCATTTAGAAGAATTATGACACCCCATGATAAAAGCTGAGATTCTCTAAAAGTCACGAGACTGACGTCTCTTCTAACAACCACACCAACAATTAACATAGGTACATGGGATGCCCGGACAGTGTGGGAAACCGGGAGGACCAGTTAAATAGCTGCGCAAACGAGGTGATACAAATTTACGGTTCTCGGAATAAGTGAAACCGATTGAACCCAGGCTGGACAGAAAAGACTGGATTCGGGAGAGGTTCTATTGTACTTTGGTATAAAGAAGGAAATGCTGCTCACGCACAAGCCTCTCACTTAAACCAATAAGTTCAGAGTACATAACGATATTGCATCAATATGCAAACAAAATAATAAATTTAAATAGTCTCATACTCATAAACAACAGAAAATCATTGTACTCTCTCCTCTTCCTATACCAGTTTCTATTTAAGTAAACAGATATTCACATACATTTTATATAATAAGAACGGCTCCATTGATTTCGAAGGACTTGAAGTATTAGGACTTATAGAATTAAGTGTTGTAATTTTATGGTCACTGTGAATTCCTAACAGGCAATAGATACTATCAAATGCTAACTTTTCAGACAATAATGCTGCACTGAGATATGCCATTTCCAATAAACAAACTAATATTAAAGTTCGAATCCACCATAGGTCCTGAGACTTATTCTTTTATTAGTTAGAATTTAGAGCTATTAAACAGTTGCTCCCAGTATTGAAGTATGAGACTGTCCAACTTTGCAATTGAATGACTGCGGATGAAGAACATCTGAAAGTACTGGACAGGTATTTTATCCTAGAACTAGATTTCTGGGAACCCCTTGCCAGTACCCCCATCGGGAGTCAAATCCACAGATTTCAGGTTCCTGGAAAGATTAGAAGATGCTGACATTAGTTTGGATATATATATATATATAACTCACTTTAAGGTTCGGAGGTTCAGAATACGATTCCTGATAAGGTGGGGATAAGTAGAGCCA